GACCAGGAGTGATTCCTGTTAAGCAGTATCAGATGTTGACCTGAAACCTGAGCCCTTACACCAACTCATTTCCGGTTAATCTTGTTATTTGTCCAGAAAAAGCGGGTAGCTGGATCTTAACTCTAATAGTTACTGGACTCTCTCACTGATAGAAGGACAGTTTGAATACTCTGTTGAGCAGTTGAACACGGCAGTTAAGAGCATAGGCTTTGGAATAAAATAGTTCATTTAGCTTGTCTGGTTCCTTAATTGCTAACCCTGTGTTCTTGGGTGAGTTGTTCCTTTTCTGAATATCACTTTCCTTTGTAAAATGTGGAAAGTAAGTATCTACTGCACATGGTTGTGGGAAACATTGAATTAGATAATATGTTTAAAGTTCTTTAAGGAATACCTGGGACAATTAATAACATTGTGCCACAGCGATATATGTGCACCTATGTTTATTTATTTTTTATTTTATTATAAAAATAAAAGGAGGAAAACATTAACAGACAGACAACCTTTTACAAAATAGCAAAAGAACAGTACAGACAATACAGTTACAAACAAAGTGGTAGAAAATTAACAATGCTTGTTGTAATACATATAGATATCTTCAAAGTGGTTTCTCATGAAAACAGATAGAGACAAACGTGCACCTATGTTTATAGCAGCAGTGTGTAATAGCTAGATGTTGGAAACAACCCAAATTCCCATCAACCAAGGAACGGATAAAAAAGATGGTCTTTTTATACAGTGGAGTACTACTCAGCCATAAAGAAGGATAAACTGGGGACTTCTATAGGTAAATGAATGCAACTGGAGACCATACTGATAAGTGAAATGAATCAGACTCACATGTGTAAATATCATGTTGTCTCCCTAGTGTGAGAACTGAATGAGTAAATAAGATACAAAATGTGCAGCAAACATTGTAAAATGGGTAAAAACTGTTTGAAAGGAAAGAGAAATTGAGATGTGGAAAGGAGAAAAGAAGGAAGGAAAAAGAAAAAAAAGATAGTTATACTACTCATTTCTCTAGATTCATTGAAAAGAAAGGTTTGTGCTAGTATTGTTTGGACAATTAAATTTCTGTATCTTGTACTCTAACTAATTTAAAGGTAACAATATGCCATGTTTTAATCATTGTTACTCTCCTGTCTTTACTTTGAAATTTAAATTTTTTTTTCCTCTAAAATAAAAAAAAGAAATGCCTGGGATATGGTGAATGATTACCATTTTCACTTTAAGATTCTTTTGAAAATCAGAGTTCATGTTTGATTTCTGTAGGTGCTAAGTCCTCGGACCGACATTGGTATATATGGGAGTGGTAAAAACAGAAGGAAAAAAGCAAAAGAACTAATAGAAAAAGAAAAAGAAAAGGATGTGGACCTTGAGCCTTTGAGTGATCTGGAGGAAGGGCTGGAGGAGACCAGAGACACAGCCGTGGTGGTAAGAAGCAGTATTCGCTTCTGGAATACGGAATGCTCTGAAGGTGTCGGAGGTTTACTGTTTGTGTTTTTGACTGTTTATACTTTGAATACTTTATCTTTGGCATTATTTTTCATAGTGCAAGAAGTTGACTATTTTGCTTGCTTCTCAAAGTTGTCTTTCCCACAGCTGTAACTTTATTGTTACTTTAATACCTGTGTCATGTTCCATCAGTTTTAGAAAATTGGCTGGGTGGTTTCTTTTGATTTTTTTGTTTCTTGATTGTGTGTGTGTTTCAGTGCTGGGGATGTTGTTCCAGGGCCTCTTGTGTGAGAGGCAAGTGCTCTGGCACTGAGCTGTAGCCCCAGCTTTCTCAGTAGTTTTTTTTTGGTACCAGGAATTGAACTCAGGACCTTGTACTTGCCAGGCAGGTGCTGTGCCACTGAGCTATATCCCGTTCAGTAGCTTTTTTTACTGTTGAACATTTTATCTGTTATTAAGTTTCCTATTATCAGTGACAAAGTGAATTTTTTGGTGTATTTTTTCTTTTATTTTTCTAGTTTTGACTGAAGAATGGAACGCTGGGTTAAATTTAATAGCATTTTATGATTCAATACTGTTGTGCTTTTCAGAGTAATTGTACTGGCTTACTGATGTGAGTTGCTTTTTAAAATATCTCATTTCTCTTAGTAGCATTCAACAATGTCGTGAGTGCTCAATACAATATTTATAGTGATGAGAATTATCCTTTGTGTGTGGCTGGGGAGAGGAGAGTCAGAGGAAGGTGATAAGATTTCTAGGAGCCTGAGAAAGTAGAGTGGAAACACTCGTGTGGGGAGTCCTTAGAGAAGCCGCCGCACAACGCAGTCTTAATAGTCTTGCCAAACAAACAGAAGTTCAAATTATTTCTACATTATTTCACCACTACCAGTAATTTAAAGAGAAAATGCAGTGACAATATTCATGATAAGTAAATTTAGTTTGCTTTTACTTACACTGTTGGAATGAGCGTCATAAAGTAGTGTTTTTATAATTGGTCGTCAGGCCTTGTTACACTTCCATTGAAATGGAGAGGCCTTCTCGGGACAAGAATTGATTTTACAGAACTTACCCATAGGGAATAAATTGCAAGAGGATAGGAAGTCAGTACTGTTTTCCTTACGGTGGGCACCAGACACTTTGATGTCTTATCTTAACCCTTAAAACAGAACAGGATTGGTGGTGGATGTGTGTTTCTCAGAAAACTGAGCTTTAAAAAAGCTGTGCCCCAAATGGACAGTCTGTAATAAACGTAAAAGCCAGATTTGGTAGCCCAGTTGCTTGGTTTCAAGTCATGCCCTCTTTCTCCTATATCTTACAGAAAAGCTCAGAGTATCTGGTGTTGCAAATTGTCCAATATGGCTGAACATTACCCATTTCACAGGTTAGGGATATCTTCATGCAAACTGGCAGGGCACCCTACATTTTAAGAAATTATTTCCAGCCATTGTTAAGGACAGTGCTTTGTTACCATGAGGCCACACCTTGGAGAAAGAACCCTTCGCCTTAAGCATTGGGGTTTGGGGTATACTGCAGCGACTCGTTTCAGTTAAATGTTTGTTGTATACAGGTGGCAGTGTTCAAAGAGCGAGAGCAAAAGGAGATTGAAGCCATGCATTCCCTGAGAGCAGCCAACCTCGCCAAGATGACAATGGTGGACCGCATAGAAGAAGTAAAGTTTTGTATTTGCCGTAAGACAGCCAGCGGGTTCATGCTGCAGTGTGAGCTCTGCAAAGACTGGTTCCATAACAGTTGTGTTCCCCTTCCTAAATCAAGTTCCCAGAAAAAAGGGTCCAGCTGGCAGGCTAAAGAAGTTAAATTTCTGTGTCCTCTTTGCATGCGGTCTCGAAGGCCCAGGCTAGAGACTATACTGTCGCTGCTGGTATCCCTTCAGAAGTTGCCTGTGCGGTTGCCCGAAGGAGAGGCCCTCCAGTGTTTGACCGAACGTGCCATGAGTTGGCAGGACAGAGCCCGGCAGGCCCTCGCCACAGAGGAACTGTCGTCTGCCTTGGCCAAACTGTCTGTGCTAAGCCAGCGGATGGTTGAGCAGGCAGCCCGAGAAAAAACGGAGAAGATCATCAGTGCAGAGCTCCAAAAAGCAGCTGCCAATCCAGACTTACAGGCAAGTTCAGGATTTATATTCTATTTCTGTTTCACGGAGTAATACTTGTCAACGTGTGATTAGTAAATCAAGTTTATCTCATCGGTTGATTGGGAACGCAATAGTAATTAGCCTGCAGTTATGTGATCAGTGGCGTCTTTGTCCTGCGTATACCCACAGCATTTTCTGTAGGTGTACACCTAGGTTATCTGAGTGAAGAATTACCTGGAAATACCATTCAGGTGAAGCTTTGCATCACAGTCAAATAATTTCTGTTAACTGTTACACAGCCGTTGGCGGCTTTGCAAGTTCATCACATCTTGCTGATCTTAGCATATAGTCATCGCTCATGTTTGTTTACTATGTCTCTGTTCATCTTCGAATTTTCTGCTATTTAGGGACACTTACCTAGTTTTCAACAGTCTGCTTTTAACCGGGTGGTGAGCAGTGTATCATCTTCCCCCCGACAAACAATGGACTATGACGATGAAGAAACAGATTCTGATGAGGACATTCGGGAGACATATGGCTATGACATGAAGGTAAAGACATGGGCAGGCTGTGTGTGTACATACCTGTTCAATGAATTTGTTTAAAAAAAAGCAGCTATGAATGTTGATGTTGGGGCTGGAGTGTGAAAGAGAAAGCTGGTGATACGTGTATGGTTATTGAGTTTATGGTGATAGCATTTTCTCAGAACTAGAACTCTATTTTTTCATGTAGATATTCACTGTATCCTTCAGTCACCCCTTGTGTGTACTTATGTATGTATAGTAAATTTATCTGAAGCAACAGTTTTTCTTAAAAAAGGTGATTTAAAAAACCCAGTTTCTCTCAGAGGGGATGGAAAAATTAAGTCTTTAGGTTATTGAAAGCTCTCACAGCTTGCATTTTCATTTTTTGAAGTTTGTTCTTTGAGTGCTTGAAGTCTGCAAATATACATATATATATATGTATGTATTTTGTTTTTTTGTTTAAAATCATATTTTTGCTGTGCTCTGAGTACTTTTTTTTTTTCCAGGATTGGATATTGAACTCGGGACCTTTACGCTGTCCAGCCCTTTTAATTTTAATGTTGAGGCAAGGTTTTACTGAGTGGTGCAGGCTGAGTTTGAACTTGGGGTCCTTGTGCCTCAATCTCTTGAGTGCGGGGATTACAGAAACCTGCTAGCACAGCGGGCTGTGCTGCCTCTTGTGTTCCAGTCTCTTGTCTGAGTGACACTAGGTAGAAGAAGGTCATATACACTAGGGCCTATGGTTGGAATTTGGACTTACAGTTGCAGTTTATCACCATTACGATAGTTCTGATGACACCACACAGGTGTTGAGTTTGTGTTGGATTCAGTTGGCCTTTCGTTGTCACTTCTTGTTGAGTGCAAAGTCCTTGGGTGTTTGCCTGCTAATAAAATCGTGATCTAGGCAGAGACTCTGAATTAGTTGGTTTGTTTTATGATACTTAGCTGCTTTTTTTTTAGGTAATCCAAAGTCTACCTCTAAAGAGCAAGGTGGATTTCAACCCTGTCCTTTGACTGTTTTTTCTTTGTCTTTTCAACATGCAGATCTGTTAGGTACTGCTCATTCTTATAGCATCAATCTAATCAGCAATAAAACTCCTAGGATACAAAATTAAAGCCATCCATCATAGATGCTTGTAAATTCATCTGCTGTAGAATATTTTACTCAAGGTAAAAATGAATCCAGGGGATGTTTTCATGTGAGAATTTTCAGTTACATGAATTCAAGACTATGAAGACAAGTTAAAATTTGAGTTGCTCATTCAGAGAAGCTTCTAAGTACCTTGATATCCAGAAGTTAATGACCGTTTTTGTTTATAGAGTTGTAGAGGGTGAATGAGAGCAGCTGAAAGGAGCGCAGTCAGTGCCGGGTATAACTTAGCCTTTTACGTAAATGTTAGATTAATCTATTTGCTATTGCTTAGTGACCTCCTATGTTTATGTTGTTTGATTTGTAGCACATTAATTATCAGCTACTGCTCTAGAATTTTTGAACATGCTGAGCATTGCTTGGAAGCAGTTGATGACATTAAAATAAAACATCACAAGTATCCCATAGATCAAAATGATGGTTTGATATGGTTGTATAGTCTTTTTTTTTTTTTTTCCAGAATTTATATGAGAGTCTGATCATCTCTTTGGAAGGGGAATTTGGCAGTGTAGAAAAATAAAATTGTGGATTTTATTGTGTTAGCAATGTATTTCATAGTTTAGAACAGTAGAAAAACTCCCATAATCCCAGCACTCAAGAGGTTGAGACAAGAGGATTGCCATAAATTTGAGGCCAGCCTGAACTATAGTGAGACACCCTGTCTTTAAAAAAAAAAAGAGTAGTAGCAAGACTTAGGCAGTTCGTAGTTACATTTATGTTGATGACGCTATCTGTGAAAAAATACTCTTGAGCATATTCCCATACAGCAAGCACTTACTGTACAATGATTATATTTCTTTTGAGATGAAATCTGTGTTTCCCACGTTGGCCTCAAACTCCTTGGGCTTAAATGACCCCCCCAGATACCTGGAATTACAAGCATATACCACCATTCCAACTTATGTAATGAAAATTATGTTTAGACTCTGTTAGCATTTGGTTTGCTCATTTTTCTGTGTAGTATTCCCTGTTATAACTCAGAACTCATACTTAAAATTCTTTCAATTTAATATTACCTGAGGAAGATAATAGGAAGGAAGGCTTAGGAAGAAGAGTAATTATATAGTAAAATAAAGTCAGTCTTTTCTTTTTCAGGCATAGTACTTAGCTTTAGTGAGTCTTCCATCCACGTTATAGTCTACAGTTTTCAAATGCATATTTGTGTGAAATTACACATCAGAAAAGTGGGTTTGGCTGTTATTTCCCAAGAAGTTCATTTATGTGCTCAATAACTGCTTATTTTAGAGAAAGGCAGGTTAAGCTTAGTTTCATTATTTTCTTCTCCACACTGATTAATACTTAGGTAACTTGAATTTTGGTGGAAATAAGTGGACTTTGATGAAGCTTTTGTTGGTGTAATATTAGATAACACTGCAATGACATCTTTATGTAGAACATACTTCTTAGAGTCCGTTCTGCCTCTTCTACAGAGATGTCATTAATGGGACCAAACTAATTTTTCCTTATGGGATTAATTTTTAAAATATTTAACATATCTTTATGGTATACAACATGCTTTAAGATATATACTTACATACAGGTATAAATAAAATATATAATATATAAATATAAACTATATATTTTAGAATGTTAAAGCAAGCTAATTAACATATCCATTCATGTCTGTCACCTCACATACTTGCTTTTTTGTGATAAGAACATTAAAAATCTCTCAGCAGTTTTCAAGTACACAACACTTTATTTCTAACTGTACTCATTGTTTCCCAAGAGATCTTTGGCACATCTCAGCCTTTCAGCTGGTCTCTCTCCGTTTCTTGGTATTTGTGTGCCTTCAGCCCTTCCCTGATCACCATCATTCTACTCTTCTGTTTGCACTCTTCTGCTTCTTTAGATTTCATACTCTTTATTTGGGGAGAAGTAATTTTTAAAAGCTCATCATTTTTTAAGTATTTTCCTTTTATCCTGTGTCTATATCTAAAATGCATCTCTAATCGACAACATATGTAGTGGAGTCCTTTTGGTCTGTAGTCCTGTATATTTGTATTTGTAAAATATAGACTACTATATAGCTGGGTCTTGTTTTTTTATATTTTGTTTTTAAAGTAACGGTAAAGTCTCTGCCTTTCAATGTAGGATGTTTGCTTCATTTATATTCAGTATGGTATGTTGATATGGTTGATATGCTTGTATTTAAGTTATCTTGCCATGTATTTTTTTCTTACTTCCCTGCCCCCACTTTATTCTTCTGTTGATTATTGCTTGCTCTCTCTCTTTGTGTGTGTGTGTGTGTGTGTGTGTGTGTGTGTGTGTGTCTCTCTCTCTCTGTCTCCTTTCTTTCCTGGTACTGAACCCAGGGCCTTGCACATGCTAAGCAAGCGCTGTACCACACTGAACTATATCCCCATCCCTATGCTTTTTATTTTTCTTCTTTATTTTTTAAAAATATAATTCTGTTTAAAAGTACAAACTACCCTTAGCTCATAAGCCATACAGAAACAGATTGTGAGCTGGGTCTGGCCCCCAGGGAGTAGGGTGCCAGGTCCTCTTTTACACATTTGTATTTTGCCAGATGCTGCTCTTCTGCAGGTAGGAGACATTAGAAAAAATTAAAGGCCTGAACATTGAGAAATGACCTCATTTTTTTCTCTTTCTGTTTATTCTTTCTGAACTATATTTTAAAAAACCATTGCATAGACAACTAGTTCAAATTTTCATCATTCCCTCCACCCTGAAACCAGCCTGTCACGTTCCATCAGTGACACAGAATTAGCTAGCCAGTATTTGACTCTCAGAGGGCTGGAGCCTAACTCTGCAGGGCCTCTTTAAGCTTTTAGGTTCTAATAACCCGGCCAGCCCCTGAAATGGTAATTCCTTCCTCTAGTTATTATCTGTCTTGCTGTTTTCCTCAATGTTTCTCTTTTGCCTTTTTAATCCTTTTAGTACACATTTGACTGGTTCTCTATATTAAATTCTCTGTTGAAATACCCGATCTGATTTCTGTCTTCCTGATTACACTTTGACCTTTAAGTGTGTACACATTAGCTTGTGGAAACAAATTTCACAGAAAATCACTTGAGATGTAATTAGACTTGTCAGAATTTTATAATTTTTATATTGTATCAGGCTCTAACTTGTATTAAATAAAAGGAATTGGTAAGATTTTAGATTTGAACACCTTTAAAGAAGATTAAATGGTTTGTATCTTAACATGTCCTATCTAACCCTTTCTTCTCCTTTTACGTCTACTTTATTTTCTTTTAAAGGTAAGATTCCTTAACTTGTTTGTATAGTTATGCACTATGAGGGTAAATTACATAAGAGTCACTTCTTTGTAGTTTTATTGCCTCTGTAGATTAACTGGAGTCATTGTAGTCTTGCTTTATCCCAAGTGGACATTTTACTAATCCTGTTTAGTTAATGTGAGATTTTGAGCATGTTATATTAGAAGCTTTAAACTGAAAACCTTCATTTAGATGCTGGTCCGTAAGGTGTTAGGTGGTTCTAATTCTCAGTACCTCTTTACTTCTTCTTCAGGACACAGCCAGTGTGAAGTCATCTAGTAGTCTGGAGCCCAATCTCTTCTGTGATGAAGAAATCCCTATCAAGTCAGAGGAAGTGGTAACTCACATGTGGACAGCACCTTCATTCTGTGCAGAACATGCTTATTCTTCTGCTTCTAAAAGTTGTTCTCAAGGTATTATCCTTTTTAAGAAGTGTGAGTACGGGGCACACACCTGTAATCCTAGCACACAGGAGACTGACAAAGGATTGTAAATTTGAGGACAGTCTGGGCTACACAGTTCAGGGACAGTCGGGACTACTTAGCGAGACTCTCTCAAAAACAAAAGAGTGAAAAAATAAATATGGAGAAGATAAGCCTAAAAAGAGAGAAAAAAAACATTGTATGAAGACTGTGAATCCTTGAATGGAATACAGCAAATTTAGGATTTTATGGAGCAGCGTATTATTGTCTATTTATTTTTATAGGGTAGCTGACTGCTTAATGTTTTGATACAGTTCAAAATGGAGAGAACACGGGTTAAGAGATTCTGCAACAATCTGCAAAAAGAACCAACTTTAAACTCTAAACCAATTTTTTAAAGTGGGTGTTGGAGTTGTAGATTTTTTTGTTCTGTATTTTTCATTTCACTTTCACTTTCGAGGATGTGGTGGTGTGCACCTGTGTGGGAGACTGAGTCAGGAGAATTGTTTTAGTCCAGGAGTTTAAGGCCAGGTTGGGCCCAATATTAAGACCCCATCTCAAAAAATAAAACCTTTATTTTCACTTTTTAGTGTTACGAATCCAGATATGGAGGGGCATTTCCCTAACATTTACTTTGAAAACATTACATTTGTCCGCAATTTTCACTTTTTGGGTTTGCTTTCTGATCCTTTTTGGGAAAGGTACTAGCACCCCAAGGAAACAACCTCGTAAGAGCCCTTTAGTTCCCCGAAGTTTGGAGCCTCCGGTGTTGGAGTTGTCACCTGGAGCAAAAGCCCAACTGGAAGAACTCATGATGGTTGGAGACCTCTTGGAAGTGTCCCTGGATGAGACACAACACATATGGCGGATTCTGCAGGCTACACACCCACCCTCAGAAGACAGATTCCTGCATATCATGGAGGTATGGTTTAATGCTGACATAGATAGTGTTTTGAAACTATTTAAAATGTCTTGGTTCCTTAGAGATACCACACATACTGGCAGAGAGATGGCTGAGTGAGCAGTTACCTGTCCAGCTAAGCCAGAGCAATTGTATTTTATGTTTAAAATAGAATTGAGGTTTTATGTAATACTTAATTTTCTACAGAAGGCTATTTCTGCTGAAAATAAGTCAGGGTGGGGGAATTGAAAATAAGCAGTTTGCAGCAACCTCCATAGTCCAGTCTCCCACTGTTGGAAGGCTCAGAGTTAGGTAGGAAAATGGAGTGGTTAAAAAAGTAAGGGCATCATTAAATACTTGTGGAACTGGATTAGATGGAAGGGAGGAGTCCACATCTCTGTATTATCCTTGCATAGCAGTTTGTTATTTACGGTGTTTTGTTTTCATTGCACTTTACACTTTACTTTTACTTTTTAACTCTACTTTTGTTTTTGCCATACAGGGCATGCTCCCGCTAGGAAAGTGCCTGCCATTGAGCTACAACCCCAGGCCCCTTTCCCTCACCTTCGTTTTTAGTTTGAGACACGGTCTTACTAAGTTAACCAGGTGGGCCTCAAACCTGTGACCCTCCTTGTCTCAGCCTCTCAGGTAGTTAGGAGGACAGACCTGAACCACCGTTTCCAGCACCGTTCTGTGATCTATTCCTCATTGAAGATCAGATAGGTGGAAAGTTAGGGTCACACATGTAGTAAACTTAAGAGACTTGGATTCTAACTCTGGTTTCCGACTCCTGCTCTGTTTTATTAGCTTTCTTATTTCCACGTAATTAAATGGTATGATGCCGCCAATTGTTGATACAGACACATTTAGCTTACTATAGTTTGGCTTTGGTTTGCAAGACTAATCCAAGGTAACCTAATTTAGATACAGTGTTTTGTAGTTTATAGAGCATTTTCTTCACATCTGTTATCTAATCCTCTGTAGTTCATATAAGGAAACACAGTGTTAAGAGGCTCTATATCTTTTTCAAGGTATAATAGACTTAAGACATTTATAATCTAATGCACTTTTGGACTCTGCTGATTCTTAGGTTCCTGTCAAAGATTCTCAAGTCTCAAATTTGCAAAGAAAGTGAAATTGCAAATTTTTTTCTGAAAGAATTTATCATGTTCACATTTAAAATGTTTTTTAACATTTCCCTCATTCTGTTAATGGGCACACTGTTTTTGTCATGTAAGCTATTTTCTAATGCTTGCTGAAGTCACTGCATACCATGGATAATTAGATCATGGATACAATTTTATGTTTTCCTGACTTTTTTTTTTTGGTTTTTCTCCGGTACCGGGAACCGAACTCACGACCTTGCGCTTGCCAGGCAGGCGCTTTTGCCGCTGAGCTAAATCCCCAGCCCCTTCCTGACATTTTTGATGATTTTTTTTCCTGACATTTTTTTAACCACTAAGAATTTGTTAAATTGGAAATTTCTTTTGGGGGGACATAAGGTGAATTGAACTGCCAGAGGCACTCTACCACTGAGCTGCACTTCAAGCCCTTCTTATTTTTTATTTTTATGCAGGGTCTCACTAAACAGGCTGGCCTTGAACTTGGCAATCCTCCTGCCTCAGCCTCCTGAGCAGCTGGGATTATAGATGTGCACCACTGTGCCTGGCAGTATAAAAAACTTTGGCAGTGATAGATGAAAATCAGAGATTTTTATTTGCATGATTTAGTACAGTTAGCTTTCTCTTTATGTTTTCATCTTAAACAGGGATGGAAGAGACTCTATTAAATATGCTAACACGGATCTTTTCCTCTGATAGGCTGAAAATAAGTCAGTGTCTTTTTTAGGGCTTGTCATTATTTTCTGCTCTTCAGTTATCTAATACATGTGATTTTTGTATTTGTCGTCTTAATCTGCCTTTTAGGTATCTTTCTAGTAACATTTTTTTTGTGTGGGGGGCATAATGTATATCATACACAAGATTTACCATTTTAACCCTTCTTGTGTGAATAGTTCAGTTGTGTAAGTACATTCACAGTGTTACACAGCTGTCAGCACAGTTTCCGAACTTCATAGTCATCCCAGACAGAAACTCTGTACAAGTCTTTATTTCTTCTTCCACCTCCTAGTAACCTCTCTTCTACTTTCTGTGTCTATGAATTTGCTTCTTCTAGGTCCTTTTTATAAAAAGTTGTCACTGTTTTAAATGTCTTGCTTTAAAATTGTTTCTAATTTAATATTTTTGAAGGATGACAGCATGGAAGAGAAACCAGTAAAAATGAAGGGAAAAGATTCTTCAGAGAAGAAAAGGAAACGGAAGCTAGAAAAGGTAGAACAGCTTTTTGGAGAAGGAAAACAGAAATCCAAGGAGCTAAAGAAAATGGATAAACCCAAAAAGAAGAAATTAAAATTAAATGCAGACAAATCAAAGGAGCTGAACAAATTGGCCAAGAAACTAGCAAAAGAAGAAGAGAGGAAAAAAAAGAAGGAAAAAGCTGCTGCAGCCAAAGTTGAACCTGTGAAAGAAAGTACTGAGAAGAAAAGAGAGAAGAAAGTGCTGGACATCCCCTCCAAATATGACTGGTCAGGAGCAGAGGAGTCCGATGACGAGAATGCCGTGTGCGCAGCACAGAACTGCCAAAGGCCCTGCAAGGACAAGGTGAGTTCCGTCCGTCTGTAATGGAATGAGAGGGTCCAAGGAGCCACAGTCGTGGAGACACGTTTGCGAATCCAGAGTTTGGACTTCTAATGTCATATGTTTTCTACAGTTTCTACAAACTGTTTTGAATAATGAGGCTCCTAGGTCATTGTGCTTAATAGAAAAGTGTTATATTAAAAATCATATACTTAATGAACACAAAATAGGAGCATAGAAATCCCACAACATTTCCTTTCAAGCAGTATGTTTCATATGCAGTGGGCAGAGCAAGTTTTATAGCAGTCCTGTGTTTTCCCTGTAGGGTAACTCAGAATTAAACACCTTGTCAGCTACAATGGTCCCTCCAAATCCTGGGCCGTTGTTAAGAGCTGTGGAAAATTACATGAAGATTGTATTGCAAAGACCAGAAGCTTTTCAGTCTTTATCTTACACACACTGAAGCTGTTGTATACTCTCTGGAATAGGATATGCCTTTTTTTTTTTTTTCAAATCTTCTCTAACAAAATTTAGCTCTTTACAGGTTTTATTTAAAGATTTTCAACCCTAAAATTTAAGTAGAGTAATTCTGTGGTGGCCATTAGGTAGTACTGGTGATGCAAACCTCTGGGAAGAACAGACAAACTATGAAAAGTCTCAGTTCTTTAAATGACTAGAGGGTATCTGTTACCATCCCTATCAGGAATATTGATAAGTTAGTCATGTTAGGCCAGGAGTGGTGCATGCTTGTAATCCTAGCGCTCAGAACCCTCGGACAGGAACATCACCACCAGTTTCAGGCCAGCCTGGGTTACATAGTTAATTCAAGGCTGGTTTGAACGATGTAGTGAAACCCTATTTCCAGAAAAAAACCATCTTTTTTTTTTTGTTTTTTTTCCTGGTACCGGGAATCGAACTCACGACCTTGTGCTTGCCAGGCAGGCGCTGTGCCGCTGAGCTAAATCCCCAGCCCCAAATAAATCATTTTAATTTATTTGATATTTAGAATTTTAGTAGCTCTTCAGTTTGAAAAAATGAGCAGAATAAAGGTATATCATTATTCCTTGTAGACTATGCCCCTACTTACCTCCTCAGTCAAATTCTTAAATAGTTTTAGAGCTGAAGGGACCAAGAGGTCACTTTCAAGCTGCTTATTTTACAAGTGATGAAACTGAGACTCAGGAAATAAATGATGTGACTAAGGTTACATCGCTAACTAGTGGCAAAACCATTCAGAATCTGGCTTATGTAAAACTGAGATGTAAGTACAAAAGCACACCCCAAAGCTCAGTGACATCTATATTTTAATCATGCTTATTAGAGGTTTTCCTTTATTTTTAGAAAATAATTGTAGGGTAAAATGCAGATCCCGTAGTCTATTCTTTCAGGGATAACAGCTACAAATATTTTAGCATATTTCCCTCTGATCTTTTTTCTATAGCTTATTTTATATTATTGTCATACTGTGTTCACTTTTGTATCTTGCTTTATTAATTTCATGTGCATTTCCCTGTACTGTGAACATTTTAAAGCATTTTAGTAGATTCGTTGTGTGTGTGTAAATTGTTTTTATCTTTCACTTGGAGTTCATTTTCATCTGAATTTTTTATTAGAGTCTGTTGGCGAGTTTACTGTTTATCTTTGGGTACTAAAGCATTAGCAGTTCAGCGTTGGCAGTACCTTCTCCCTTTTACTTAATTTTATGGTAGTTTCAAGACTAGCAGTAAGATAATTGTATTTCTTTTTTAAACTTTTAATCAAATTTTTCCTGTGTTTATATCAACCTTGTGTCTTTTTTCCTTTTCTTTTATCAGTTAATCTTTCCCTTCTCTACTCAGCCTTGAAATGTGATTCAGTTCTTCTCTAATCCCTACGTTTTCTTGTAGCACATGAACATTGCAGGCAGTTTCTTTTTCATTTGCTACAAAATTAAATATAATTCAGCACATGCCTTGCTTACTCAGAGGGCTAAAAGGAAAAGGTAGAATAATTTCTGTGAAAGGACCTGATAATGGAAAACACACTGCAAGTGTTCTTTTTTTCTTGTACCAGGAATCAAACTCAGGACCTTGCACTTGCCAGGCAGGCGCTGTGCTGCTGAGCTATATCCCCGGCAGTGCAAGTGTTAAGAGGTGATCATTTAAAAAAATAAAACCATCATTATTTTTAAATGTACCCTGAGATTTTGTTCCTAACATTATAGGCTCATTTTAAGTACTTTTTTTTTTTTTTAAGTACATTTGGATGGAACAAAGGAGTGTGAGCTGAGCATTCAGAGAAAATCTCTCTTGTAAGCTGTGAAAGATAAGCCGTGTGTGCCTTACCTTGTCATTAGCAAAGGGCTATTTTTCCCTGTGTTTTGCCTATCATTACTGTTTTTCAGTTTTTATGGTTCTCCATATTTGTTCCTGACACTAATTTTGTTATATAATAAGTACATTTCCGTAAAGACTTTCGTAAAGAATTTTCAGATTTCTCAATTTGTACTGTATCTCTGAAGAAATCTAGTTCATACACTGAAGCATACATCTTCAGAACAGGATGATAAAAGAAATGCTTTTTAGGGAAATCTGTTATTTAACATATCATGCAGCAAAAACTAATTTGTAGAGTTCGTTTGTTTTTAGGGAAATGTACCTTTACATTTCTTTTAACTAGTAATTACTATTGCTTTTTCCTAAAAATATGCAGATTAAGAAGTATTTTCATAAAAATGAGAATATTACTTACATGTACCTAGTTTAAATTCCATGAGGCTTTTTTAGAAAGAGGAAAGAAAGATAATGCCAGAATGATGTAAAAAAGTTTTAAAGAAGTCATCTCGAAGCTGGGAGTGGTGGTGCATGCCTGTAATCCGAGCACTCCTGAGGCTGAGGCAGGAGGATCCATGGGAGTTTGATACCAGCGTGGGCTACAAAGCGAGCTCAAGGCCAGCCTGAACTGCATAGTGAGACCCTGTCTCAAAAAGACCCCCCCCCCCAAAAAAAAAAAAAGCCAAGAGAAACTTATTAAATTATGTGTAATGAATCACTTCAGACCAGCCTAAGCCAGGTGTAGTGGCGTACGCTTGTAATCCCAGCACTTGGGAGGCTGAGGCAGGAGGATCATTGCAGGTTTGAGACCAGCCTGGGCTACAAAGTGAGCTCAAGGCCAGCCTGAACTACATAGCGAGACTCTGTCTCAAAAAGAGAAAATAAACAAACAATAAAGAAGTCACCTCTTCCGTCAGTTACCAAATTAAAGCTGAAATTAATTTTCAAAACAATAAATATTATGAAAAATAGTTTTAAAAATCAGAAGCTTTCTTCTCCTGAAATGTGCCCCTTTACTCATTCATACTGGTACCAAGAATAAAACAAGTTAACTTTATGTTTTTTTTGAGACAGAGTCTCATTGTGTAGTTGTAGTGGAGGCTGGCCTTGAACTCATGGCGAACCTCCTGCCCAAGTGCTGGGATTACAGGCATGTGCCACCATGCCTGGCACAAGTTAACTTTGAAAGAACAAATTATTATTATTTTGGGGGGTGTCCCAGGAATCGAACTCAGGACCTTGTGCTTGCCAGGCAGGTGCTTATGCCACTGAGCTATATCCCCAGCCCAAGAACAAATTATTTTGGCCTGATATTTAAATAGCATTTTTCAGTATTAGAATAGATACTCCTTTTATATATTATTATTTATTCCTTTTATATATTAAAATAAACCTTTTTTTTCCTCTTCTTTTTTTGGGAGGAGGGGCACTGAGGATTGAATCCAAGGACTTTGCACTGAACTACATCCCCAATCCTTTATTATTATTATTTTGGTTTTGTTTTTGTCTTTTTAAGATGGTGTTCCACTACGCTGTTTAGGCTAGCCTTTTTTTATTTTTTATTTTTTTGTCTTTTTGGGACAGGGTCTCGCTCTGCAGTTCAGGCTGGCCTTAAGCTCACTTTGTAGCCCAGGCTGGTCTCGAACTCACAGTGATCCTCCTGTCTCAGCCTCCCTAGTGCTGGGATTACAGGCGTGCGCCACCTCGCCCAGCTTGCACTTGTTTCTCTTAATTAAGTTTATTGGTACAGTTTGATATACATAATGATCACATTTGGGCTGGCATTTTTGATTTCTAGTTTTCAAGGTTATTTTCCTGGCAGGTCTTATTTTCAGGAAAATACCAGTACAGTATAAATACAGAGATTCTGAATATATGTTGTACTTCATGAAGTGAATTGTATTCATTTTCAAAGCTAGCTTTTACTAGGAACTTCGGTGCAAAAGAAACTAAATGCCAAAATAATAAATAAAATCTGTTGAGTTAGCTATAACCAAATGACTAGTTTTTTCTTTTTTCCCCAGTGCTCTAAAAAATGAACAAAATATGTCAAGTATTTTTCTTAAGTGTAAATATGAAACCATACAGCAAAACATAAATGTTAAACTAACATTATTTTCTCATTTAATATATTTCTCTCTTTTGCCGTGCTGGGGATTGAACCCAGGGTCCTCTGCATGCCAAGCAGGTGCCTACTGCTGAGCTGTATCCCTAGTCTGAATCAGTATCTATCTGTATCTCTTTATCAGCCGCCCCAGATTGAACCCAGGGCCTTTGCACTAACTGGCCCTTTAAAAAAATTCTATGTTTTGAGACAGGGCCTCACTAAGTTGCCCAGGCTAGGCTCAAACTTAGGCTCCTCCTGCCTCAGCCACCCAGAGTTCTGGGGTTACAGGCTTGCTGTGCCAGGCTTCTATATTTCTCTTCTACATAGGCATTTTCTTGTAGATCTGAGCTCAGTAACCTATTTGTGCTGTAGCATGAGATCTGCTATCTATTAGTAATTGGAAAGCTCACAGCTAAGAAGTTTTCAGTGTTTGCTTTTTTTCTTGTTGCATTTTTAAGAGATTGGATTTTGCCGTATTGCCCAGGTTAGCCCCAGACTCCTGAGCTGAAGTGATTCTCCTGCCTCAGCCTCTAGAGTAGCTGGGACTACAGGCGCATCACCACACCCAGCTTTCCGTGAAGTTTTTTAATAATTATTTTTGTGATTCCTAACCACTTCTCCTGAAAATAATGGAGGAAATGACTATTAGAGCTTAATACAACTTAACAATTAGCCAAATTCTGTTCTTGATTTTTCAGGTTAGTACATAGTCTGTTTGCCCTGTGTGAGAGTCCTTCACGGATTTAGTTGATGTTCTTAACTTTAGTTTGCTCTGTGTGGGCCTTTTTTTTTTTTTTTTCTTTTTGTCTTTTTGAGACAGGGTCTCACTATGCAGTTGAAGCTGGCCTTGCACTCACTTTATAGCCCAAGTTTGCCTCGAACTCACAACCATCCTCCTGCCTCAGCCTCCCAAGTGCTGTGATTATAGGCATGTGCCATCATGCCCGGCTTATGTGGGCCTTCCAAGTGGAAATGAAACTCAAGTTTGATTGTTAACATAGTAAAAGAAAATACTGGTAAGGGAAGGACTTTTTCCTTACTGTATTGTCCAGATCAACTATTACATAACCTGTAGGCTGGGATATAATCTGTACACCAATGGATATCTCAAGGAAAATTTCATATATATATATATATACACTCTCTGGAAATACAGGGAAAACTAGACTTCAGAAAGCAATTCTAGTCAAAATCACAAAAGGGGAGATATTGCCTGCCTTATTTAAAAGAGAATGATAGACTTAATTTTGGGAAACTAGAAACCAGGGAGTATACTGCACTGCAAAATTAGTTTTAGGATGACATGGGACACCTTTCTTGGCAAATACTTACAAATACTTAAAAATGAGTAACTTTTTTGTCCTATGGATTAGTATGAATCAGGCCTGGATTGAATTGAGAGGGTTGGAGGTAGGGGTAAAGGAGTCTTCTGGCACAGGGCTAGCGTGATAAAACAGCATAGGTCTCAAGCATAGGCGGCCCACAGAAATACAGATCATCTTTCTAACTCCCTTTCCCAGCTCCAGACAGTCAAAACACACAGCCCAAGTTCATCTTCTGTGCAGGTAATACACTTCGTAAATTCTTTGCTTGCGGCTCTACTGTTTTGTTACACAGAAGCCATTGTCTCCTGATTTTGTTTCTGATTCATTTGCTGCAACAGGAATAATATGATCAGTTATTTTCTTTCCTGCACAGAATTCAGAAGGAAAATATCATGCAGTTACACAGTAAAAGCAGAATTTAAAGTGGACATGGTGGCGCATGCATATAATTTCAGTACTCGGGCAGGAGGATTGCATGTTTGGGGACAGCCTAGACAATTGAGTGATTTAGGGAGCTCCTATCTCAAAATAAAAAATGAGCTGCAAGGATGTAGCTCAGTGCAAAGGCCTGCCAAAAAACAAACAAAACAGGAGTTTAGGAAGGAATTGGTAAGTTACTCTGACTTTACCGGAAGCAGTATCATAAAGAAGGTGCATCACAGTCAGATTTAGGATATACAGGAATCACTCTGGTGCTGGCCTGTAATCCCAGCTCCTTGGGAAGCTGAAGCAGGAGGATTTCAAATTCAAAGGTCAGCCTCGGCAATTTAAAGAGACTCCATCTCAAAAACAAAATAAAACACAGTAAAACAAAACCACACCTGGGAGCTGATTAGAAATGTCAGCTCCTGGCTTATACTGTCCAGATACTTTTGTGTCCGTAGGTTTGGGATGGTTCCCAGGTATATTTTCAACATGAACATGGGTAATTTCAATGCAGGCGGTCTGCGTGGTTTGAAAAGCAGTTTCACAGGCAGGGAAATTGAGCCTCACCGCAGAGAAATTAAGTAACTTGCCTGAAACCATACACACCAGAATTCAATGATCTTTATAACACTGTCTCTTAAGATCTATAATTCTAGAATAGGAATAATAAAAGCAAAAATATTGGACAAATTATTTTTCCCATTTTTTATTACAAGCCTAATTACTGACATAATTATCATGGTTTTGATAATTTTTATAGAACATGAAAACTAATTTTGAAAACCACTCACTTTCCCCAAATGAAACTCATTTACCTAACCAAAACCTCCTTGTTGTTTCTCCTGAGCTGTGTCAAGGTGCTTCTCTGATCACTTTGTGTTCCTTACTTTGCTCTGATATCTTATGAAGCAGAAGGTTAAAGTGGCGTTCTCTGTTGCCAATAAAATAATCAGCTTTTACACAAGGGAGAGGGAGAGTAGCTGCCCTTGTCTGAAAGTGCTCATCTGCCGTGACATTAGGTATAAAAGCAACCGCAATCACTTTCCAGATGTAAAAGTCACCTTCCTGTTAACTTCAAATCCAAGTCTTAACATTACCAAACCGCAGTCCTTCCCTAGACGCCTACAACCACGGTATTCTCCAAAGGGTCAGAATTGCCAGGCAGCTGCCATTGACACCTACCGGTTATCTACATTTTAATTTTAAACCCCAGAGTGATCTATTGACCTGTGTCTTTGACTGTTATAATTGGTTAATTTGTAAGATTTGACCTCTGATATTTGCTAACTTTTTGTAGGGAGTTGTATTTGTAACGGAAGAAGAGAAGAATAAAAAATATTAGTTTAAAAAGTGGCCTATGTGACTGCTTTTCTAAAAAAGGTATTTAATGCTCTTAGTACTTTGGCTTATCTCTTTGAAATAAAGCTAATACACAGGATTGCCTTCACATTGTTGTACTCTTCCTTTCTTGATTGATAATTGCATTGTCTTAGAGCCTAGAAATTGTTAATATTAGCTAAAACTACTTGGCTGCTCTATTAGAAGTTTCTTTTTTGTCAAGTTTTCCCCAAACATGTTTCTGCCTCACAAGAAACCCCAGGTATTTATGAGGTAATGGAGTACCTACCTAAGAGGCCTAATTTTGTGGACACACTATGGTGGACTATAATTTGGGGGTATTAACTTCTCATTCTTTCTTTGGAAAATAACCCCATAAGAAGTCACTGTCTGTCTCTGGACATCCCAGTTGTTTGCTATCATTTAAGTCAAGAAAGCCCTTTGGTTTGCTTTTGCTCTAGGTTTGATGTTGTGTAACCTAACATTAACCAATCTTGTCTTCTACAGGTAGACTGGGTACAATGTGATGGTGGCTGTGATGAGTGGTTTCATCAAGTTTGTGTGGGTGTATCTCCAGAAATGGCTGAAAATGAAGATTACATCTGTATAAACTGTGCAAAGAAACAGGGCCCAGATAGCCCAGGTCACGCACCACCTTCTTCCTTCATAATGAGCTACAAACTGCCAATGGAAGACCTTAAAGAAACCAGTTAGCAGATGCTTCGTTAGTTTGGGACATGGCGGGAACGGACCATGTTGAGACCTTAGTTATAAAGTAGAGTGGTTGAGATCCACTCAGAATGTTGCTTCCAAAGATGAATGGCCTTCAGAGAAAGTCCTCTTAGTGCTAGCTTCCCCTTTGCATGGACTGTGTGGGCTACATTCTCTATCAGCACATCTATGCAGAGGATGTCTTCTTGGTACAACAGCCAGTATTTCCACTCATGTCTCTTTTGAGTATGGTTTACTGGATTAAGGCCAGACACTTGGTGGAGCTCACAAGTAGCTGGGTGGCATTAATACACTGGTGTGCTAGCAGGGCATGCATAAGATGTGGCTTACGGCCAGCTGGTAATAGAGGCTTGTAACGTAGCAGCACCACCATCTGAAGGTGCTGATTGCTTGAATCTCCTTATTTGGGATAGTTGGAGAGGAGTCAGAGTACAGCTTTCCTACCACTATTACCTGGCATTTAATGTCCCATAAGTACAACTATAAGGAACAGGTCAAAGTTATTCTTAGAAGTAATGGGAGAGTAGTCCAGTCTGTAGACCTCGGCTGCTTATGCTTGTTTATACCAAGAAGAAAATCCCAAGTAAGAGAACCTTGCACCATCTGGGCAGATCACCTTACTTTTCTAAGCAGGAGGATGACAATACTGGATGCTAGGAAGAAGAATTTTTATTTCAAGGCAAAAAGCCCTTTTTTTGGCCTTTGAGCAGTTTGACTGTCTTGGGTCTATATTTTAGAGAAGAAAGGTACATGGTTCCAAGCTTCTTTAAAAAAAAGAAAGAAAAAGCAAGAAAAAGAAGACCAGAATGTCTTTCTGAGCCACAGCCTGCATGCTTTTTGGGAAACCTTCATTCACAAGTATTCCAGATACCATCTGGCTTTAGGCATGGCCATGAGCAAGACTAGCGTCAGCCTCTTGCCTTGCAGCTCTGCCCCAATGCCTGCTATTCCCAACGTGGCACTGTCCGACCGTGACCCACAGCAAATGCTGTTGACTAATACTGTGACTTCAGCGGAGAATGTGGGGCTGTAGTACCTCTGCGTGATAAAGTTGTTTTAGTAAATCCATTTTTAAAAGGAAAAAAAAGGACTTGTTTTTACTTTTTTCTAAATGTCTGACTACTGACTGTTCTATAAATAGATTATTTTTGAATATACATATATGGATATAAAAAAAATATATATATATATTTACTGTTACCAGCAGCGTATGACAAGAGTTTTAGCATCAAAAATCCATTTGGGAGGTTGCTTTTTATTTTGTGCTTTTTGATAAGGAAATCCCATTCCTTCTTCGTGGTACAAGGAGCTAGCATTCCCTTCTCCATCCATTCGGTGTTGTTCTCATAGGCGTATGTTTGCCTCGTGTCTGTGTGTCGGGCTTGTCCCCATCTGTTGGGAAACTTGGTCTTACTCTGGCCTGTGCTGGCTCTTTCTCCTCTGTACGCGAACGTTTGAAACTACGGTGCTGTCCGTTGCCTTCCTACTGTGTTTCTGCTCTCGTTAGGTGAGCTGTATGTAAACTCGCACTAGAAGGGGACTACTCTTTTTAAAGGGCGAAAAATGCGTTTTACTAAAAATAGTGTTTTGCCTCACTATCTGGTGTCCTTTATTTTGGTGTAAAAATCTGTGGTTTGACTTAAATTTACTAGTTGTCCTTCTTTTGAAAAGGGGAGATTGGCATGGACCTAGAGCAGTTTGTAGTCTCCTCTTCCCTTTCTGCCCCAGTCTTTTTAAAAGAAGTGTCTTCTAGTAAGTAGAAGTGAAATGTACTGTCCAGTTACAGCTTGAGTAGGTATGAGATCTAACTCAAAAGGCGTCTGCTTTCATATAAAATCCAGTTTCTGTCCATGTTTTCTCTGTGGTGTATCCTGCCTACTATTTGCTCGTTCTTCCTTTCATACTAGATAACGTTGGAGTGTTCTGACCTGTTAAGGGCTTTGTAAGTGTGCTGTGTGCTCTGTCTTGAGATCTCATCTCAAGTGTATGACTTAAAGCTTCAGTGGACATTGTGAGGTAACTAGTTAGTTTTCATTTTGCTGAACTACATGTAGACTGTGACTTAAGAATTGTCTGAGTAATGTTATAGAAGAAAGCGTAGTAATTTTTACCATTTGGTCTTTGTAAAAGTCTTTCAATATTTATGGGTTAAAACTTCAAAAGTAAGTGATGGGTACACGGAATGGGTACACAGAATACGTATAAAACTTTGATTTTCCCTTCCCAGTCACCATGGGACAGTTGTGAGGATGCTGAGGAAAGTGTTCGGTATCTTGCAGTGTGCGGTGGGTGGGGAGGTGGCAGTCTGGGGAGTAATCTGTGTGCTTGCTATGGTTTGTAGCTGGTGGAGACCTGGAAAACAAGACCATCATCTTTTGATACTGAAACTTAAATATATTTGTCATTTAATTGATACAGTGGTATTTTCTACAGTTATTTGGAGGATCTAGTCTGTCTTGACCACAGATTTAGGCCAGGGCTGAAAGAACAGAAGAAAGAAAATAATCGTCGTCCCCCACCGACCAAAAAAAAAAATCTACAGTTTTAGAGTAAATGAAGTAAGATTAATCTGAAGAAATATTGGTGTTCTAACGTAAAGCATTGGTTTCACTTTAAGGAAATTAATTTGCAACCAACCTTACTCTTCGGTACTGTTAGCATTTTGTATTAAAACTTAATTTAAAAGGTTTCTGTGCCATTCCTATTTTAATTCCTATTTTAAGTTTTAAGTTGGAATTCGTCATCATTCATTTTTTAACCATGTTTAATTCTTTCAAAGGTATTTCTCACTACTGGCATTACAAATATTTTGACAAAGGCAGTAGAAAGAACAGTGAAAAAATAGAAAAGGTAGGTGTTTGATAATTCCTCAAAGAGTCAGTCATGGGAATTATACAAGCCCTAAGTTTAGAAGCACAAGCATAGTGGTAGTAGGTAGCTTTCTAGCTGGGAAGAGGAGAGGGGACATTTTCCTGTTACACACACCTGTTTATTTCCCTTCCTGACAGTTACTGCAAAAAGCCATGTTGAGATGGTAGATCCTGGGCTCCCTCGCTAAGCTGCTCCAAGCCAGCTTTGCCTGCATGATTCAAACTTGTGCCTTCGTAAAATTAGGAATTACCGCATGTCAGACTTGAGTAATCGAGAAGGTAAACATTTAACCTGACCACCCACAATCTAATAATCAGAAACATGGTAAATGGCAATAGAGCTATAAGATTAGCATGACTTTACCTGTGCTTCCCTACTGTTACCTGCTTCTGTCATTAACAGGTGTCCAAGAAATATCAGTTAATTTTTTTCTTCATTGTTAGATTTTAGATGCAGTTCAGTTCCCTACTGCCAGAGTTTTAATTCTGTAGTACATCTGTGTATTACCCAGTACTTACATTTGGAGGAAGAAAGGAAAAATTAAGAAAACCTCTCTTGAAAAGTTATGGGATCGGCTACTTTTTAAAGGACAAAAGTGACATTGGCGTGGGATTTGAAAATTGTAAATTGTAGGAAATGGAGCTGTCCAAGTCCCACATATAACCAGGTTCAGTAAAATTTCATATATAAATAATTAGCTTTATATGTGTAGAAAGTTGCTTTTGCAGTAGGCCCTGAAGTGTAATTGCCTTGGAAATCCCCCCACTTGATTATTTTTCTCTTCCTCTTCCCATTTCTTCCTCCTTCCTCTCTCCTCCTCCTCCTTTCTCCTTTGTCCTCCTTCCTACTCTATTCTCCCCTCCTGTGCTAAGTGTATTTACAACATAAGAGGGAAAGAATGGATGTTAGTATATTTTTGGAATTGTACCTTTTCTTGACCTGGATCATACCTAGTCACCACTATGCAACCTAGGATGTGCACCAGAGAAGGATCTGGTAGGTTTTTAAAGCTGTGTCCTGCTCGCTCTTATTTTTACAGTATTTCAGTTGTCTGAACAGGAATGCCTATTGTAAACTCCAGACCTCCTATTGATTATTCCTTTCCATATTTATTTATAATTTACCAGGGTTATTGGTGATGCTTTATAGAAAGTATAACTTGGTTTCTTGATTTTTTTTTTTTTAGCATGTTTTATGCTTTGTTTATTTTCTGAAAGAATATTAGATACGGTTGCATTATATCAGAAAATTTTAAAAGTGTATGTGTGTTGACACATGTGTAGTCACTCAGGTTTTCCATCCCCACTCCCAGCCCTAGCCCCTGTCATGTACATTGGTAACAACTTTAAATGGTAACCCAGTAAATTTTGGTAATAAGTGTTGATAATCCTGAGGAAGAGATAAGTATATGGGAGCCACTTTTAACTTGTACTAAAGCAGTGTCTAATATCTTATATGCTAATTCTAAACTGAGCTGAAATAATTTGCTCATTCAAATGATTAGCTTATTATCATTGATAAGAGTAGTATTTTTGGAAAGTGTGAAGTAGAAATGATTCCTGAAGATTTCACTTGTCCTCTGTTTTTATCAAGAAACCAGTGCTGACCAGCATTTGCTCACCTTTGGTTCTTAAGAAATACATCCCTTTAGGGCCGGTTAGATAGCTCAGTGGCACGGCGTGTGAGATTGATTCCCAGTAAAAAAAGAAAAAAAGCCACATATATACACACACACACAAATCTTTGCAGTGAACAAGTAAGAGGGAACACAGAAAATACCTTCCTTTTTCCTTTAGCCTCCAAATTCTCACTAGTTCAAACTGCAAGTTGCTTCAAGAAAGTAAATGGTACTTTTTCCCCCCATTCCTAAGCTTACTAGATTGTCCAAGTATATGGGATAGATCATTGCTAAAAATTGTACGGTTCTGTGTGCAGTGAAATTGGTCTTAGCTTCATGAAGTTTCTGACTATGTATGTATGTGTTGGAAGGAAGTTAGTTGGAAGTAGGAGGGAAAAAATCGGGTTTTCTGTTAACTTGGAAAATAATCTTGACAACAACAACAAAAATGATATTTGAAATTTCATAAAATGACAGGTCCTCTCCTTTGTAAAAATGACACTTGCTCCTTCTAGTTTAGAGCAAGTATTTCTTGGGTCTTTGACATTGCGGTTAATGCCAATAAATGGGAGATCCTGAATTTCTTCATGGAAAGCTGAACCATTGATTGGAAGATCATGCAAGATGAAAGTAGAGAACAATATTGTGATTGAAAAATATGGTGAATGTTTAAAATGTTATTATAGTAAAAGACACATTGCCATGAATCCCTCACAAAATATTTCCACTTGCTTTGAACACACTTGTCCCATCATTTTTGTCACTTTGTGAAGCAGTTCTGGTAATCCAGTTTCATGAGTGTCTTTAGTTGTGCGTTTATGGCTGCCTTGGTGTTCTGAATAGATTCGAAACATTTACCTTTCACGGCCATTTTGACTTTGGGGGAGGAACAGAAGTCGCATGGTGCTAGATCAGGTGACTGATGTGGGTGAGGACACTGCCATGTTTTACAAGCATGCCTTTCCATTGAACGGCACTCGGTGACAGTGTTCATGTTTATATTCAGAATCACATCTCAAATCACAAGAAAGACTTCTAAGACCACTTCAGAAAGTTGCAAGTAACATGCAGTGTGTTTAAAGCAAAGGGTAGTATTTGGGAGGAGGTTAATGGCAATGTATCTTTTTACTGTAGTAAACTTATTCACCAAGTATTTGTTACACCCTGTACAGAAGAATACAGCCAAATACTATGGATGTGAATAGACTGAAGAGTAATTCTGGAATTTCTTGATTGTTCTCACCTTTTTGCTCTTGAAGGTATATTTCTGCTGTACTTTCATGGGAAGAAAGATTTTATATTCCTATATGTCATAGTCCTGTGAATTTTATTAAGCAGAGTTTTTGTTTTTAAAAATTTCATTGGTACGTGTTTGCAGCATGTATGATTACATTCATCGTGGGAAGTTGGCACCTGTACACAACACATCCTAACCTTCTGTTTCTTCCTCTCCGTTCTTGCCCCTCTAGCTGTAGACCCCCTTCCCTTTTGCAAACGATCTGTCTCCCTGTTTCCTATTACCTTTTATTTTTTCTCTTTATTTATATTTGGGTTTCTCATACAAGAGAAAACAAAGGCAAGACTTTTCTCTAGCCTTG